ACAGGTCATTACGCTCTCCGCGCTTCCTCCAACTGAAGAGGACAGAGAGCTATCTCTGCTCTGCCCCGTCAGAGCACTGAGAATCTATATTGAGCATTCCACCCCCTATAGGCGGTCGGAACAACTCTTTGTCAGCTGCGGTAACCGCACCAAAGGGCTTCCGGTTACGAAGCAAAGACTCTCTAGATGGTTAGTAGAGTCCATCTCGCTAGCGTATTCTTCTTTGGGCCTCCAATACCCCATTGGCATACAGGCCCACTCGACTAGAGGCATCGCCTCGTCTTGGGCATGGTCCAGTGGTGTGTCCATTGCGGATATTTGTGAGGCGGCCGGCTGAGCCTCGCCATCCACATTCGCAAGGTTTTATAACCTGGAAGTCCCAACCTTGCAGGCCAGGGTCCTCTCCGCTTGAAGTGACATGCGCTGCGTAAACAGATCTGGCAGAGAGCCCTTGGCCGTATCACGCACAAGTTCTCTGGCATTGTTCACCTGTTAGCATTCGACCCCTGGGTGTCGAAGTTACAGGAATACTCTGGAACGATTAACCAGGCCGGGTGTGACCTAGGAAGTTCAGCCCGTCTTAGCCTTGGGTTATTGTTAACTTCTCTATGAGCATTATAGCCAGATGCCCCGCCCATTCTGGCGGGCTTTGGCTGGCTTCGTCACCATAGGCTCGTGCAGCGCCGCTGCCTAGCCATTAGTTCGTTTTTAATACACTGCACGAACCAATGGCCGGGCAGAGTCACTGTGTGAATGAAAAGGCTTCAGTTCAGGAGAAAAAAGGCTTTTTTCCAATATGCGTCTAGCAAGACACAGTACTTGTTCCTGTATCTCAGGGAACCGAGGTTACGTTAGTAACCGAGTACGTTTCAGTAGGTCTTCACACTCGTAGGTCTTCACACGAGGAGGCTGAACACGAGGGCTGAACGCTTCCGCTGACGCTTCCGCCTCAGCTGACAGACAACAAACAAATACACAGCCACCCGACACTTCAGAGAAAACAGCTGTGGCCGCCTTCTTAAATTAGCACACCCAAAAACCTATAGCAGGGCAATTGCTCAAATCGAAACTGAAGTTCGCACTTAAGTGCAGGAACAGAGCAATATACAGTAAATAACAAAAGCTATTTTTTAGCCGACGGCTATTACAAATAAAGTGCAATCAAACATGCAAATTACAATGAAAAATAGCAGTAGAAATAGCTAGAGAACAAAATAAACCTTCTTAGCAGCAAGTAACAATTTAAACAACAGATGCAGAAACAAAGTATTAAGCAAACACTCACGCGCTTCTCCCCGAT